CAGATGGCCGAGAAATCATCACGCCCAATCCCACCACGTGTGATGCAAGTTCAGCAGGGCACGGCCCGCAGGCCGGTCAGCAAGCAAGTAACGCAAAAGAGGGTAATTACAGTTAATTGTCGTTGTGATAAGTGTGCAGCAATGACTGCATCCTCTAAATACTGCAACTTCCTGTGCATGCATTACGCGCTTCTGTTACTGTTTTCTGCTGATGTCTCCGATGAAGAATGCGCGAGATGGATGTCGAAACGTCAGGCTAATGAAAGTCTTGTACCAGCGATCGCATCTTCTTTTTCTCAATTACTTCCTGGAACTCGCATGTTCGCTTGTATTGGTAAGGAATGTTTAATTAAGATAAGTTTACTGACAAATACGGGGGGGAGGCTGAAATCATAAGACATGGTATATTTTGTAGTCAGCCGGTAGGAGACTAATTCTCAGTCTACAAGACCGGAGGATTTTTAGTTTGCCTGAAAGGTTATCAAGTCAAACGGTCCTTCATTGATCCGTGTAACAAAAACCCCCAACTTGTGCACTGAAATATAAAACCGGCAGTGGGTTATGCCAGTAATTAGGCCCGCTAACAGAAGGTAACGCTGTTCCGCTATCAGGATGTGTTTAAACTTAAAACAATGAGATTACAGTCAACATAAGCTGAATAGAGGCCAGTGAACTAAAATGGGGTGTATGTATTTTTCTGTGACCTTTTTAGAGGGTTTAGTGGTGCTAATGAAAGACTTAATTGCATTTTATATGAAGAAAATGGTTGACTGACAAAGAAAACATCTACCTCTTACTTTCTTTGTGTGGTTATTTCCAACAAAAATGAACTCCGCTGATAAACTGCTTTTGGTAACCGATGCACCGCAGGTTTTTTAAATGCGTACAATATACTTAGTATGAATGTTGACAGTTGCTAAGATCAAAGGACAGGTAAGAGTGTGGTGAATAGTAAATAAGCAGACTACAGAACCATATCCATCGGTCTGTACAAGGAAGGAGGAGGAGGACGAGGAGGCAAAGCTGCGTTTGACCCGTTTCTGCTATTGCCTTTGATGATGGATTCGCGACGGATTTCTAAACGTCAGACGAAGAAAATTCTTGTCTCACCGATCACACCTACTTAATCTCAAACCTGTTTTTATTAGGATTTACGCTACCATTTACCATGTCAATTTAGACGTTGCCATGAGGAACAAATACGAGGAGCAAGCGGAAGTGTTGTCTAAAAATGTCCAGTAAATGTTTTGGGTAGGTAAGAGCAAACTAAAACTGTTAGTTAGCATCTTCGAGTCCTTTTTCGCTGAGTTGAGGTACCAGGTAGGTCAGTTGAGCCTTCGGATTATGCCTCCACCCAAAGCTAAGTTGAATGAAAACAACCAAATATAGACGCATTCCGGGCAGTCCAAGGACTGAAATGCCGCATAGAGGCTGTCTTAAATAACCAACTGAGGGTGTAGACTCATACATGGCGCCCTCAAAAGTTTAAATACCGAGGTAGGTATCTGCACTGTCAAGACACCTGCGTCAGTTAGCGGTTACAAATTTGTAATCGAAAGAATGGACTTCTCGGAAGTGGCCTTAAACTATGAAATCTTTAGTTGGATCAGTGATCTATTATCGCAGCAAGTCGGGCACATATGCTTGCACAGTAAGGACGACAGCATCTCATACTACCGCATCGAGAGCCCAGTATATTCTCCTGACGACAAAACGACCCCAGTAATCCAATCGAAACACTTCAGTTAAACAGGAGGATTTTCTCATGAGCTGAATACCAGAACTTTTGAAAACCTTAATCAGGCCGAAAGATGACTCTGACTCCATTGAAAGGAAGCTCAAGGCTTTTAAATCGTAGAAAAGATAATACGGTTGGACAACGTAGGCAGCTGAGTCTATGCAGGCTTATCTGATGAAATTTCATGAAACAAACTCGTTCCAAATTGATGTCCATTTTTCGCTCCCGTAAATAAAGGGAAGAGCAGTCACTAAAGATCGGGTTGCTGATGCTAAGGCCTGAGCCAAAGGAGAGGACAATAACAGCCCAACATTTCAGCAATCTTCAGGAACCGCCTATTCAGGTGCGACAGCTTGTGTCCGAGACAAGAAAATGCTTCAGAATGAAAATCGGTCTTCAATATTAATTTCGAAAGTAACAAAATAGGAGTGATAAATAATGAAGTATATTTCGAAAGAAATTTTCAAAAATTTTCGACAATTGTGTCCTCTATTTCCTATGTCCACGATGCAAACGGCGATTGCGACGGACCAAGTGGACATGTTCCGCAATTATAATCATAAAAACATCTTTAATGGTCATAACGAGTTTCGTTGGGGTGGATTTTATTACTAACATTAGGCGCTTGGCCAAGCTAAGCTTTTGTAATTATAAATCTTCTGCCTGTAAGAGGCCTGATTCGAAATCTAAGCAGAAATGTCTTTCAGATAGCAACAGGTTCGTCCGGTAAGTCAAGACTAATGGCATGTCAATCAAAAATACACACGTGTCGGGCGTGCCAGCGTAGCTTAGTCGGTTTCTTGCCAGATGAAATCGTTCAGGAAGTCAAGTTAGGCGAACGAACGTTTTCTGTTGATTCATCGTCAATACAAGGTAGGGTAGAGTTAACAAACGTTTAAGCAACCATCCAATAGTAATTAGAGGGAGAGGTGTTAAGGGATCAAAGGGGTCAGATTCTAGTCAAAAATAGAGACCATAATCTGACCCCTTTGATCCCTTAGCACCTCTCCCCTTAATCACTACTGATTGGTGGCTTAAACTTCCGTTAACTTTACCCTACCTTGCGTTATTGTATTTGCCTGATGATGAATATATCAAAAACGTTCGTTCGACTAACTTGAATTCCTGAATGCTTACAAGTGTATCATCGCTGAACTTAAACAATCCAAAGGCGAAATCGTATTCACTTTGTCGGACTTATGTCCACTTGTAAAGGCCACCAAAAAAGAAATGTTTGAAGATGTTAAAAGACACTTACTTGAGCTTGCGTAGGCATAAGAGATGGCGGCAGCGTGGGAGGCAAGGTGCGTCCTGCTAGAGCCTGGTCGATTAGGTAGGCCGCGATGCAGAATTCATCGCAGGTCAGATTACCGTCCTTGTCGATGTCAGCCAGGTTCCTTAAAAAATAAAACTAATTTCATCAAAAAATCACTGTCAGTCACTGAATAAAAGCTGGATGAAGAGTTGGCCTCCGTTGCGCGAGG